GAAGTTAGGAGGAGGTGCAGGATTACCAAAACTGTTGTCCAGAGGGCTGAGGAAGGGTTGTTGAGGTGGTTCGGACATGTAGAGAGAATGGAGCGAAACAGAGTGACTTCAAGAGTGTATCAGTCTGTAGTGGAAGGAAGGCGGGGTAGGGGTCGGCCTAGGAAAGGTTGGAGGGAGGGGGTAAAGGAGGTTTTGTGTGCGAGGGGCTTGGACTTCCAGCAGGCATGCGTGAGCGTGTTTGATAGGAGTGAATGGAGACAAATGGTTTTTAATACTTGACGTGCTGTTGGAGTGTGAGCAAAGTAACATTTATGAAGGGGTTCAGGGAAACCGGCAGGCCGGACTTGAGTCCTGGAGATGGGAAGTACAGTGTCTGCACTCTGAAGGAGGGGTGTTAATGTTGCAGTTTAAAAACTGTAGTGTAAAGCACCCTTCTGGCAAGACAGTGATGGAGTGAATGACGGTGAAAGTTTTTCTTTTTCGGGCCACCCTGCCTTGGTGAGAATCGGCCAGTGTGATAATAATAATAAAAAAATATATATTTATTCTCCATGGGGAAGTGGAACAGAATTCTTCCTCTGTAAGCCATGCGTGTCGTAAGAGGCGACTAAAATGCTGGGAGCAAGGGGCTAGTAACTCCTTCTCCTATATATATTACTAAATGTAAAAGGAGAATCTTTCGTTTTTCCTTTTGGGCCACCCTGCCTCGGTGGGATATGGCCGGTGTGTTGAAAGAAAGGAAGATATATATATATATCTTGAAAAAAAGAAAGATATACATTTATATATATGTATCTTTCTTTCTTTCAACACACCGGCCGTATCCCACTGAGGCGGGGTGGCCCAAAAGGAAAAACGAAAGTTTCTCCTTTTACATTTAGTAATACATACAGGAGAAGGGGTTACTAGCCCCTTGCTCCCGGCATTTTAGTCGCCTCTTACGACACGCATGGTTTAACCCTCAAACGGTCCAAATGTATATATACGTTTCTTCAACATCTGAAAGTATGTAAAAAATGTAGATCTTCTTTTTTGTTTTACATTTGAAAACGTGTAAAAACTTTTATCTACATTTTTTTTTTGTTATATTTGAGAATATGTAAAAAAAAATAGATCTACTTTTGTAGCACTACGAATTTGAACGTTGATCTGTTTGGACCGTTTAAGGGTTAAGGAGGAAGAATTCTGTTCCACTTCCCCATGGAGATAAGAGGAAATAGACAAGAACAAGAACTAGAAAGAAAATAGAAGAAAAACCAGAGGGGTATGTATATATATGCTTGTACATGTATGTGTAGTGTGACCTAAGTGTAAGTAGAAGTAGCAAGACGTACCTGAAATTTTGCATGTTTATGAAACAGAAAAAAGGACACCAGCAATCCTACCATACAATTACTATTAATACAATTACAAGCTTTCGTTGTACACTCACTTGGCAGGACGGAAGTACCTCCCTGGGTGGTTGGTGTGGACCAACCTACTACCTATAGAACATTGCTTTATAAGCCTTAATAATAGGAATCCATTATTCAGGACAACCACAGATGTCTTACCAAACACAAAACCATTAAACAGTATAACAGGGGAGCCAGTGCACTAGCAACCACTATTTACATGGCCCCTTCACACTCTGGAAACAATAATGCTTACCTATTATACAGTTGGATTTTATTTATTTCAGATTTTATCTGGAATGATCCCCTATCATCTTTGCCAACTTAAAATACAGTAAACCTTCAATTTGAAAAGATAATTAGGGAGAAGCAGGGAGGATGGTAATAGCAGTTGTTAAGGATAGAGATAAGATTGTAACCAATAATAATAGACAAATCTGTAGCCTATAAATACTGCTGTTTCTGAATCAACTGATTTTGTGGATTTGTCCAGTATTTGTCAAATTCATGTTTGCTAAATTGAGGTTTTTACTGCAGCATAAACAATTTATATGCATGGATAATTCATAAGAACTAGAGCATACTTACTGTAGTAAAAAATCATTTGATTTGCTAGAGGACCTGTTTTTTCTTGTGAAGGGTTGTATAACTCAAAACATTTACATCTTTACATTTAAATATGACACTTAAATTGAAAACAAATATTCTAACATCAGTGGTATGGAGATGTGAACACAGTGAATGGAGATCATACAAATTTTTAAACAAATTTTATGTTTTCAATTTATATTTACAACAGATACACAATTAGTAAAACTATAAAAATAATTTCTCAAACCTTAAATTTTGTTAGTAATTTACACACAAACATGTTAATTCATAAAATTAATACTAAACAAAAACCTGGTGTTTACTGAATGATCACTGGAATCCTTAAAGCTAATACTGAAACAAAGGAATTCAGATAAATCCTAAATTTCAGTATTCTGAATTATATAAAAATATTCCTCATACAAAAAAATATGAAATAAAAATCTTTGAAAAACTATATAAAGTAGTAGTACTAATTAGGATAAATCATTATTAGTATAGGGTCTGGTCCAAGACATGAGTGTGAGACTCAGCCACATGAAGCATGGTGTCAGCCAGAGGCAAGCTAAGCACACAAATGCATATTTGCACCCTATATATAGGGTGCTGTCTTATACTTACAACAACGATGCCGAGGGTCGAGTAGCAGATAGCGCGACCCAATCATTGTGCCAAAACATTCACCACACCCAAGAGAACACACAGAGGAAATAACACTGGTTAATGTTGATACTAATGCACAAGAAAGGATAAGTAAAGCCTAGCCCACACTTCCACACCTTATTTCCCTAGACACCATTGTGATATGCTGAATGATATAATCAAAAGACTCCAACAGCATATAATGATGCAATTTACTGATTCACAGTATTCTTCCATGAAGAAGTGTCTCTCTATAACTCGACTCACGAAATCGTAAAGAAACGATTGCAAACAAACCATACCACGGACGGGGATAGAACCCGCGATCAGAGAGTCTCAAAACTCCAGACCGTCGTGTTAGCCACTGGACCAGCTAGCCACAATAAGATTCGTCCAACTAGGTATATTTCTACACTATAGGTCTACTGTGGTGTTAGAATATTTGTTTTCCTATGGTGTAGAAATATACCTAGTTGGACGAATCTTATTGTGGCTAGCTGGTCCAGTGGCTAACACGACGGTCTGGAGTTTTGAGACTCTCTGATCGTGGGTTCTATCCCCGCCTGTGGTATGGTTTGCCTCTCTATATGATAACAAATTGGAGTCTTCAGATTTTTTCATTCTGCTAACACTAGAAGCTCTTTAAAAGCTGAATATGTAACTTGCAAATAGTTCAGATTTATAGGTCAGCCATAATAATGATAACAAATTTAAAATTAGTAATTTTCACAAAAAACTACCTGATAAGCAATATAAATAATGAAAATTAAAAATATATATTGAATTACAGTATGAGTTATGTAGGAAAATTTGTCAATTTGGAATCATTACATAATACTGTACTACATAAATATATTAATGCATATTTTAGCACTGCTAATAATGCTCCAATCCCAACTCACCAGATAAAAATGAAACCCAACAGCAAGCAGGGTGGGAGAGGCTTCCTAATATATGGTACTGCATGTACAAAGCAAATCAGTGAAATATCAAGTCCAAGAAAACCTCATTGCTTAGGGACTGCAGTTCCACCAAAGTAATGGAAATAAAAAAAAAAAAAAATTCAAGTCTTAGAAAACTGAAGTACCAAGTATACCCAGACAGCACTGTAATTTAACAAGCTTCTTTGGAATCTGTTGCAGTACATACCAACTATATCTCAAAAGTATATTAAAAATAAGGAAAACTTAATTTGGTCTTTCAAGTTTTATGATGTGTGGCTGATAAATAACTGTCAATGGATATGTCAAAAATAAAATTTTACCTCCACTGTTTCTATAAGTCAGAATAAGACCTAAAGTCATTGAAATAAATGACTATCTTTAAACTTTGAAACACACAATATTGCAAGAGGAAAAAATACTTGAAACTTTGCAAGTCTTTCAATATCAAATTTGCAGATTAAATCTCTCTAAATGTTCAATCATCCACAATGGTTTAAGTAGTGATCAGTGTATTATTATACATTAACATACTTGCAAACAGGTGTAATATTCTAATTAAATATTTAAATCTACAAGATTCTAACAATGAAACAGGATAAATATGGGAACCATTTTACTAACAATCAAAATTAAACTTAAAAAGTATAAATGTAATGATGTAAGTCAAGAGGGCATCTCTAAACAGGGAAAAGCCTGAAACAGTTACAGTATATCAATATCAATATATGAATATACTGATGATTCTAAAAAAAAATTCCAAGAACAAAAAACACACATTACAGTATTATTATTTAGCATTATTATAATAAACTGTAAGTAGCAGCAATATTACTATCATTTAAACAGCATCCCCAAGAGTACGCATACTTCCCAACAAGTAGAGTATGCTTATACTGTACTCTAGATGATGAGTTATAGAGGATATGTACTGCACTATTGATATGTTTATGCTGAATATCCCATAAATGTCTTGGCTATTGTAGTTGCATTCACATCACAGTAAGGTATTTGAGCATGTGTACAACACTGCAGAAACAGCACCATTCCAGTGTGCACAAACTGCTTGTACATACAACAACCTACATTACTGTCAAACTTCTTGGGTAAGGGTAGGGGTATGGTATTTACAGTGCAGCATTCTAAAAACTCCTTGATAAAACCAAATAATATGTATGCATTGTGGCATTCTCTGTTTATAAGGACTTTTAGGTATACAGTGATATGAGCAAGCACACAGCAATTACAGATTTTAAAAGAAACCATTTATCTTAAGCTATTTAAAAGACATTGGCATCAATGCACAAAATCACATGCAAAAATAATAATAAAGACAAACAATCTTAATGTTCTGCAACAAAACCAATGTACTGCTAATAATATATCTTATGAAAAAAGCAATGTGAGTGAATGTAAACTATAGTTGTAATACCAGAATCTTTTGAAGCTTAAAAAGGCTACATATGGCATCGATCTGCAAAAAAGCAGACGTGTATCAATAAAGTGCATGGAATCTTCTAGTCCCTATTTATTTTTAAAGTACCAAATGATGATCAGAATCAACAATAAAGAAAAGGTCAACTGAGAAAGTTCATAATTAACCAATTAGTATTTTATGTTGCTACAAAAGGTTACTACACATTAAACTGATGTACCAGTGTTTATAATAGAGAAAAATATCATTATTGCAAAGAAGATAAAAGAAATATGGAGAATAATAAAGTAGATTATTTTTAAGAATAAGATGCAAAGTTACAAGACAAAATAAAGAAAAATGAGAATATCTATAGCAATTAAGAACAAATTTTAATTGTCTGAGAGAAAGAATTCAGTATTATCACTGACAAAGATGTAAACCCTTAGGTGAATATTTTACATATTTTTGTTTCAACAAACCAGCAGCATCCCACCAAGGCAGGGTGACCCCCCCCCCCCCAAAAAAAAAAAAAAAATCACCAACATTCACACTATCACTGCCTTTGCAGAGGTGCACAGATACGACAGTTCAGATGTCACTCGAAACAGTCAATATCCCAAACCCCTCCTTTAAAGTACAGGCATTGTACTTCCCACCTCCAGGACTCAAGCTGGGCTAACTGGTTTCCCTGATTCCCTTCAAAAAATATTACCCTGCTCACACTCTAACAGCTCGTCAAGTCCCAAAAACCATGTCTCCACTCATTCCTATCTAACACACACACACATGCCTGCTGTATGCTCAAGCCCTTTGCACATAAAACCTCTCTTACCCCCCTCTCTTCATCCTGTCCTAGAATGACCCCTACCCCTCCTTCTCTACATTACAGATTTATATACCTTCCAAGTCATCCTATTGTGCTCCATCCTCTCTAAATGACCAAACTACCTCAACAACCTCTATTCAGCCCTCTGAATACTTTTAGTAACTTCACAACTCCTAATTTCCATACTACAAACTCTCTGACATTTCCACCACCACCCTTCTCACTGCAACATTCACAACCCATGCTTCACACCCATATAAGAGTGCTGGTACCACTAAACTCGCATACATTCCCTTCTTTGCCTTCATGGATAACGTTCTTTGTCTCCACAGATAGCTCAATGCACCACTCACGTTTTTTTCTTCATCAGTTCTGTGGTTAACCTCGTCCTTCATAAACCCATCCACTGACAAGTCTACTCCCAAATATCTGAACACATTCACTTCTTCCATACTCCTTCCTTCAAATGTGATATCCAATTTTTCTTTACCTCAATCATATGATATCCTTATCACCTTACTCTTATCTATGTTCACTTTCAACTTTCTTCCTATACATTATTATTATTATTACCATACACTTTACCTGGTATACACATCAACAGGTTTATTCCCCCACAATTTCTACATTCTCTGTTGTCTCCATTTCCTTTATATAAACGAATTATGCATACTCTGGCCTGGTCATAGACCAGGCCACTGGGGCGTTGACCCCAGAACTCTCTTCAGGTAAACTCCAGGTAAACTCTGCCAGTCCCTAGGTATCTTCCCCTCATATATTCATTGAACTAAAGTACCAACCACTCCAGAACTATATCCCCACCTGCTTTTAACATTTCTGTCTTGATCCCATCAATCCCAGTCACTTTACCCCCTTTCATTTTACCCACTGCCTCATGTATTTCCACCACTCTATTCCAGCTCTTCCTTACTCCTAATGGATGTTATACCTCCCTAGCCAATGCATGAAATCACTGTCCCCCTTTCTTCATCATCATTGTTGTTCTCAAAATATTCCTGCTATCTTCCCAATACCTCCAACTCTCTTCATCTGCTTTTAATTGTCAAACCTATTTGTTCCCTAGGCTATCTCAAATTATTAATTTCACTCCAAAACTTTTTCTTATTCTCAGCAAAATTTGTTGACAGAACCTCACCCACTCTCTCACTTGTTCTCCTCTTATACTCCCTCATCACTCTCTTAACCTCTTTTTTTATTCTCCATATACTCCTCCCTCCTTACATGACTTCTGCTTTGTAAAAACCTCTCATATGCCAACTTTTTGTTTTTAAATATATACATATACTGTACTGTGGAACCTCGGGATACGAACTTTTTTCGTTCCAGAAGTGCCAATACCAAACGAATTTGTTCCCATAAGGAGTAATGTAAATTAGATTAGTGCGTTTCTGACCACCAAAAGTACACTTACAAAATCACTTACATAAATACACTTAACATAATTGGTTGAGATTTGAGCTGTTCGTATCCTGAGGTACCACTGTATACCTATAAGAGTTAACCCACTGACAAAAATTAATACACTATTAGAAAATATGTCAAATGAAGGGTGAAGCCAGTTAAATTCAGAAGTGCAGACATAATTTTTAATTCATTACAGTACTACTTATAAATTTGACACTTGAACCCATGATATTTTTAATAAAATCAATTCATCTTGCCCAAAATTATATAGATACATTTCATGAAAATGGCTCTTGGTTGTGAGAAATCCCTAGCACAAGGATCTTGAATGCAGTGATGCCTCACTATTCACAGGAGACATGTTCCTGAGCACTTGTGATTGGACAGCATTCATGAAAGTAAGCTTGTGTACTTGAAGCATGAGCATTTTTTATTTTTAAATGTCAATACAAATTGCTATACATGTAATGATACAATGAAGATATTTCCTTCAAGATGATAAAGTGTGGTGGAGTGTTGGAGAGTGTATGCATTAAATGATTGCTTCTCTCAAAGGAACTTAGATGCCAACGAATACTTCCATATATATCTTCCTGTAGCATCATTAAACCTAGTGGCAGACAGTGAAGGAAGGATAGGTATCATCACCAGTTAACACTACATTATTGCCCTCTTATACATGAATCAAAACAAATGAAGCTGTACAGACAATTCACATATATATGAAGTGTTGTAGAGGATAGTTAAGTATTAATGAATAGACAAGTTCCCACCAGCTTTCTTGACTACATATTGTAGTCACATACTCCCTGAGTGCACAAAGCTTGAGCACCCCAAGTGAATGGTGGATAATACAGTAAACAAATGTCACTCAGAAGCTATATGAAACTTATAAATTATTGCCAGAAATGACAACCGGTGTCTTGAGAAATGTTTCAATTGGTAAAAAACACCTTTCTGCTAAACAATCTCTCTCTTCCATATTTCGGGAAGACCGAGTGCAAATTAAAATACAAGCAACAGAAGCATGTTTCATACATACATATATTTTGTGCTGATAGCCTAGGGCTTGTAATATGAAAGAGAAACAGATGGAGTATTTATACACTACAGAATGTTGTTGCAAAATAGTATAATAGCCAAAATGAGTTCGATTGACAAGAGAAAATGGAACTGGAAAGAAGCAAACTAACCACAAGTTTTGTAGGGCCTCGCAGATATCCTGACCTGCAAAAACCCGAATTCCACGACTAAGGTTTCAGGGATGGTCAGTACTGAGTGATCTGAAGTCCAGAGTGTGTACTCACAAATTCATGACCCTATATGTTGGAAATCCCTAGTAACCTAAAGTCCAACTTGAGGGGGTGTACACTGCTAAGTGTAAAGTACAGTACTAAATAATGTGCTGAATGCTTGGACATCCAAAAAAAATAAGAATTAAATTTTGCTCTTCAGCAAAACTTACTTTTTATGAAAACAATCAGTGAACATAAAAAGCACATTCATACCAAAATAATTGCAAAGAAACTAATATAAAATCCATATGCAGACTAATCATATTTATTACTTGGAATGATGAATCAATCTCAACCTAATACCCTTATGAAGAATTCAACAGATGGAAAGCTATGATTAAAAAGAAAATCAAATTTCACTTACTATAGAAAGCACAGCAGCCCAGTAACAGATAAGCCAGAAGTTAATGCAGTACAAGAGAAGAATAATAAAATAAAAAAAAAATTCAAAAGAGGAGCCACATCTCATACTTAAGGCTGAAAATAATAAAATTACATATGAAACATAAAATCCTAAACAAAGAATTAAAGGCAATAACAAAATGGCTGAATCAGAAGAGGACATGTGAGATATTGAATATAAAGCTTCAGAGTGTATTTACAGAAGAAAAGAACTGTTACTTAAGGGACCAGAGCCTACAGCAGCAAACCAAGATGGAGCACATCGAAATAATCAAATAAGAAAACAACTACTGGATTTTTGACAAAAAAAAAAAAAAGAAAAAAGAAAAAAAGAAAAGCCCAGTCAAGGTATCACCCTGGATCTTAAAGCATCATACAGAAGAACTAAACTATATGAGCTGAAATATATTTGAATCTTTATGATAAGACCATCGATTCATGGTCAAGTGAAAAATAATAAATATAGAACCAGAATAATAAAAAATGTGATTGGGAAGCTCCTTTAAATAACAGGTTTATCTCAATGATAACTGTCACAAAACTCCAGAATTAGATAAAAGTGCACAAAACACCTGGAAAGGAACAAAACAGCTAAATATCAAATATTTCAGTTTTAAATCGCCCAATTCATATATTAAACTAAATGGATCCTCTGAAAACAAAGCATCTAGAGACATCTGATGGTTAAAATCAGCAAAGATGTTTAAAATAATTTTGACATGCAAAAATAAATACTTATTACCAATATGAATTCTGGGAAGTTATCCCACTTAAAAATATACCACTAAAAGAACTTTATTACCAAAAATTAAGAATACTGTGATATCTCAAAAAACTACTGCCACAGGGGTTTGAAAATTTTCAAAGTTATTGGTATTACATGGCTCAAGAGTTGATTATATTGTAAGGCATGTACCAGTTGTCTTGTCGCTACCTCATTACATCATGTCGAATAACTTAAAAAATCCAAGTTCATCATTAGGGTTTATAACTGATTTATAGACAGAATACTTCATCAATATTTGGAATTCTCTACCACTTTTAACTCAGTATTCCACCTTCCATTCTTCTCCTGGAAATACCCATTTTCTTTTTTTCTTATTCAGTCT